ATGTCACCTTGTTACCACTTTCCCTTCTGTCGTGTGCGAGCCATGTCCTCGTTGCAGTGGTGTGCGTTTCCTCGGCTGCCTCATTGTTTGCGTGGGCGTGGGTTTGTGTGCCTATCTGGACTGTGATTGTTTTTGCATGTGTGAAGGTGTGTGTGCTTCTGTGTGTTGTGATTCTTTGCAATCTCGCCCGTTGGTCTGTGTGTGTGCTTCTGTGAAGGGGTGTGTGGATATGTGTGCCTCTTTGGTTTTTGTTTCTTCATGAGTTTGTGATTCTCAGTTGCGTGGCAGATGCTAGCACGGGAGAGTATGACCATGTGGACAGTGAACGTCATAAGCAACGTGGGAATGCTGAAAATGTGGCCTTGGGCAGGAGTTGGAACATGTGGTTTCATCTATGGAAATACGTGGATCTGTTGTAATCTAAGTGTTGTAATTCTGTAGGTGATGTCTCATAAACGTAGTGCAATGTTGTTGTTGTTGTAACATGAAGCGTTTCCTGCGAGTTAGAAGGCCCTGTGCGCCGGTTACCAACACGGACGCACATACGCCGTTCGCATTTAATGACTACAGTACGGCTACTCCCGCCCCCGAAGTGTACAAGCCCTTTTTGCCCAGTGTTTTGGCCGGAGGATACATGCACGCACCGCGCAAAAAAAATGCGCGCCTGTATCGTGGAACAGGTGTACAGAGTGTCGATAGAAATGAGGCCTAGGGAATATATAGGGCGATTGACCAGGGTTGAATGTCGAGGGTTGGACCAGTCAAGGGCTCGATAGTCTCGATTGTGACAGGGTCAAAATAGGTTCGGTGCGACTTGGAATGAGGTTGGGGCTGACGAGGTCGACTAGGCCTGGTTTGGCGGGCCGAGCATGCAGGCTCAAACTGTTCGCGTGTAACTGTTGTGGCGAGTCCTAGTAAGGAATCATAATTCCTTACACTCTCACGCCTTCTAGAGGAAGGCACTCCATTTATCGAGGCCGAACAGTCATTACAAGTAATCCCTGATATGACTGTAAGTCTTCAGCTCTATAACGAGCGTAATGATTACGCTGGCCTGAAGAGGTCTTGAGGTCGAACTGAAATCAATGGCAAAAAAGCGTCGAAACGATCATGGTATATCCTGATCGTTGAATCTTGATGTGTGCAATGATGACGATACTTCATGAGGTAAAACTTCATCCAACGGCTGAGACATGTCGCAGCGATTGTAATTGATCGGTGTTATTGAAGATTATCGACATCTTCAGCTGACCGGACGGGCAAGAGTAAATACTCCAACGGAAGATTGTGAAAAGTGAAACAGTCGAGTGATCGATTGATGATGGCGCATGGCAGATGAATATCTAGAAATTATGACTGGTGAATAACGTGATGGATGATGAAATAAAGAACTCGTTCATCAAACGCGTGGCCATTCGAGTCACATGCGAGAGCACGCGTCCTTGTCCCACGAAAGTCAGCAAACTCCATCAACGAAGTAATGAAACCAGGTGCGGAATTGTAATGGTAACGAATGGCGGTCGAATATGGATGATGGAACACGCTGGAAGGGTCAGACGAAATCTGCAGTGTAGCTGCACTTCTCCCCCCTCCAAGAAGAAATAGCTCCCAATTTCCCAGATAAAAACTCCAAGAAACCCAATGCTCTAGGGTAGTCGAATTAATCCAACGCTGTTGCTTAAAAGTCTCACAGTCAGCTTCGAAGATGCCGCTGCAAAACTCCAACCGCTAGAACTCCCAAATATGCTCCAAAGTTATAATTCTTCCTCAAGAGAAACGGCTCCAAGGGTCTTGAAAATCTGAAGAAACTGCTCTGGAAGACTCCCATACGAACTGAAAATTCTGCACAAGTAGGAACACTGCTTGCGAGCTGGTCCCAACACAGCTTTAACAGTACTGTTGCAAAATCTTTTCGTTTCGATACTGCTCCTGATGGGTGGCGATGATGCGGCGGGGTCGTGTTCGCACAGTCGGGCGAATTAGGCGAATTGACGATGGAGGCGGTAGCGGGTAGTGACGAGAGGAAGACGACGATAGCGATGACATATAACCTGTACTGAACCACTCCGGTAGAAAACCTCGAACGGAACCCAGGGTCGTCTGACGCAAGCTGCATCAGCTTCTTTGTCCGTACACGCCGAAATATTCGGGAAGAGACGAAACAGCTACTGCTCTCCCTCCGCTCCATGTACCCATAATACTCCGCAAAATTCTGTCGATGTTGCTCGTAACCCCCATGATAGCGGGTACAGCTCCAGTTGTAAGTCCATGAACCGCTCCAGAGAAAATGTCGGAGCTCCATCGATACTTAACCAAGACTGCAATACTGCTTCACAGCTACCCGTAAGAACACTCGGACATCACGGCGTCCTTTAGCAGCGCCCCCACGGTTACTCCACCAGCTGTACGCGTGAACTGGACCCTTTACATTAGGGAACATCTGAGTCCACAGCCTCGGCATGATGTTTTGGCCGTCGATCAGGGTCAATGCGCATCATACGACGTCGATCTCGGCCCACCTGTTACCCAACTCTAGAAATTCTCCGATACCCCTGTCCAGCTGGCCGTGCAGACGTTCACCCATCTCGTGGCTGCTGCACGTTACCCCAAATCTGGTTCGCTCCTGCTTAACTAACTAAGAGAATTTGCAGAGTGCGCACGCTTCTAGTCAGAGGAGCTTTAAAGAGCTCGCCTATTGACCGCTGGACAGCTCCCTCCTCTGTCGGAAACTCCTTCTGCTGCACCAAGTGAAACCCTGAGCTCCGCTGCAACAGTTACGCCTTAAATATCGGGGACACTCCATCAACCGCAGGGGTCCGCAAGCTTTGGGGGTGCGGACACTGAGGAGGGTGCTAGTCCTAAGGGTGCTGGTTCTGGGGGTGCTAGTCCTAGGGGTACTGTTGTGGCTTGTCCCGGCAGTACTGGGGGTGGCACCGGTGCTGGAGAGGGTTCTCATCCTGAGGGTGTTGTGGTGGAGGGTTTCGGGGGTAGCCGTGGTGCGGTTGGAGGCTCTGGTGTCGGCGTGGAGCAGCTTCAGCAGTCACCGCTGGTGTCCGCTCTTCGCCTCCTCGGTCTTCCCTCCCGCGACCGGTTGCCCGCGCCTCCCCCGATGCCGCCTCCTCCCCATGTTTACGGCCCTGTGTTTCCTCCGCCGGACTCGTCCCCGTCTCATTTTCCCCCCTCGTTCTCCTCCAGTGTTTCCTGATGTGTCTAATCACCCGACGCCTGCCTCCCACTTCTTGTCTTGCTGTCTCTCTCGTGCTTGTCCTCTCTCCCCGGTTCAGCGTTCTCACCCTATGTTGCTCCGTTCTCATGCGTCTCCTACTCCCGTTCTCCCGTCGCCTCCTCAGTCCTCCCTTGTTGTCTCTTCGCCTCCTCTCTCTGACTTTCTTCGTGTTGCTAGTCCCCTTGTTCCTCTGGTCCTCACCTCTCTTGTTACCGACCCGTCCGTTCCTGACTTCAGTCGTGACGCTCTTGTCGCTGCCGTCGCTAACTTTGCCTCTACTCGCTGCCTTGACTACGCCACTGCTCTGGACTCTGACCCTGCCCGCCCTCCGTACGTCAGGGGTGCACCTGCCCTTGGCAGCGACGTCCCAGAGGACAAGCAATACAAGCTAGCTTTCCTGTCCGGGGCCACTTCTCATCTCTGCTCCATGCTGCTAGTCCCTGAGGGTGACCCAGACGCTCTTGACATCCCGACCGCTCGCACCTATGCTAGGCTACACAGGGTATTAGGGCCCAGTCACACTAGAGTCATCGGCAGAAAACATGGCATACAAAGCAGAGAGAATCATGTGAGAGTACGACCCCGTTACACCACTTGTCCCTTTTCTTATTTCCTTTCTCTTTCATTTCTTTTTTTTTATCTCATCTCATTTGGTTTCCTATTCTCCATTTTCCATTAACCTTTGGTTTATCCTTTATATCACAAACCAGGCTTGGGATGTACTGGTGCGCTATTTGGAGTAATCCTGTCATAATCCCTTAAAGCCAATAGCCTCGCGTGGCTAAACGCAGGGTGATTCTACCTTCTAGAAGGGTCTATTCCCTTAGGATCAGATAAACCTGGTTACCTGATGTCCTTTGGAAGTATAAAAGCGCCTTGTACTGATCGATAGTGCAACCTTTCCTCGAGACATTTGATCCTGTGACACTTGGTAATCAGAGCTTTTCTCACTCCGCCGCGCTCAGCTAAGCAGCAGCAGCGGGGATCCTGCCTCGAAAAACCACCGGGGGCGACCAATTCGACGCCGATTCTGGTAAGCACCAGCTCCGCGTTTTTTCGAATTACCCCCTCTGCGCGTGTTTTGAACAGGATGGCAACCCTCGACAACGCCGAGGTTACCCAGCAGCTCTTTGCGTGCATTGCAGCCCTTCAGGAGGAGATGCGAGCGCATCGCAAAGCATGGCGAAATGAGTCTGAGCGAGTAACTCAACTCGCCAGAGCGCAACACGACTCGACAACGGCGACGACACAGCAGTCGCAACAGTTTCTCGAGGCTCCGAAACCGCGCCCATTTGAGCCGTTCGATCCGAGCGATCGAAACTCCGACTTCCGCAGATGGATCGCTGGGATGGAGATCTACTTCACAGCCGTCGGATGGAGCTCGCCAGGCTGGGACGGTCAACGCGTACGACTCGCGGCGACACTGATCGAGGGCCGGCACTCGAGTGGATTGGCGGCAACAGTACCTTCATCCACGGCGAAGCCACATGGCAGCAGTTCCGCGCCGACCTGCTGAAACGATTCGAGCCGATAAATTCGAGTATCCTTGCCCGGGACAAAAATCATCGCCATCGACAGTTCGGGAGTGTAGCACAGTACACGCAGCAGATGGAGGAATTTTATAACCGCATTCCCGATCTGACCGAAGGGGAAAAAGTACAGTCGTACCTCGCCGGGCTGAAGACCGAAGTCAAACGACAAGTGGCAGCGTCAAACTACGCGAGCTACAGTGACGTCGTATCGGCCGCGAAGCGCTTCGACATGGTCAACGCCGGGACACGACGGATGCACGTCGGCAGTACGCGACAGGGCAACCGCTCGGCTCACCCCACGTTCGCCGACCCGATGGAAGTCGACAGATTCGAGGGGCGGCCACGTCCGAAAAACACCAACTACACGTGTGATATTTGCGGGGTGCCGGGTCATCGAATCTTCGACTGCAACAAAATGAAAACCGCACGCGCTAAGTATCGGGCAAGCAACAGTGGCGGAAATCCTTCGGCCAATCAGAAGCCAAAAAACGGGACTCGCCAGTGATTGCGGATCTAGCTGGCGAAAAAGAAAAGATCCGGAAGCGGCCCCGGGATTCCGGGAAAATCAACTTCGACAAAGCTGATTCGACGCGCGAAGGAGGAAATGATGGGGGAAAATCTCCACCCCACGACCAGTCTTCGCCAGGGGAAATCGCAGAGGAAAAATACGACTCCGCGAAAAAAGACTCTGCCGAGACAGGGAAACTCCTTGAAGACCCAAGAAATTAAAAGGATTCGTTAAAGTTATCTTATAAAGATGCTTTAATGAAAACTTATGATTTTCGAGGAGCTAGAGCCTTGAAGAAATTTCGGGAGGGACTCCAAAAGAAGCAGACAGCTGTGGAGATTATACTGCTACCGGACAACTTGGGGAAAAAATCATGGAGTGTGGAAAGAAGCCGACCTGTCCACGGAGTCAACATCCTCTCCCGACACCAGCCCACAACGACCACCCGTTCCCCAGGGAAGACGTCGGTGGAGCTGAAGCAGCTCAAGAGGAAGCTGGGGGTCTACAAGAAGCTGCACAAACCCCGAACTCCTCCTATGGATGCATCCCGTTCTTCGGCATCAATGACGCGCACAGTCGTCAAGGAAACTCCGGGCCCTGGAGAAGAGCCGTTCTCCAAGCAGCCTTGGCCAGCTGCCAGCTCAGGAGTAGATAGCAACACAAAGGTGTGTACAGAATATTGGGATGTACCCTATGACCCAATCAATGCGACTATCTTTGGGTACTCCGAGCAACGCCTGCCCCTTGTGCTCGAGGTCATCTGCAAAGGACGATGCCTCCAAGCACTCGTGGACAGCGGAGCGTCACACACCGTCTGCAACAAGGCAGTAATCGGCCGACTTCGGGACGAGTACAAGCCATCAGGATTCTCTGCAACGATGGTGGACGGCAGCAAGTTACCAGTATACGGCGAAGCAGTGCTACACCTACAAATCGGGCCACTGCGCTGGAGACCTGCACTCCCCATCACCAACATCAAAGGGCTTGACTTGATCTTCGGGCGAGACTTCCTGAAAAGATTCAACCCCGAGATCAACTGGGTGAACCGCACCGCAAGCATCTACAACAATGGACGGAGAGTACAGCTACCCAACTGGGACGATACACGAGATATCCCAGTGGAGACACTCGCACGATTTGAGAAGGACGTGAAGCGAACCAATACCGGGTTCCTGGCGATAGCAACAGAGGTGGAGAACGACGGAGAGAAGACCTCGGAACCTCCGGGAAAGATTAAGGAATTATTGAAGGAGTTCTAAGACATTCTTCCTGACGATCTTCCGAACGAGCTACCGCCATACCGCACACATCAACACGAGATCGTGGAGGAACCGGGTTCGAAGCCGACATTCCGAGCACCATACCGGCTCAGCCCTACGGAGCTGACCGACATGAAAAAACAGATCGAGTATCTCCTAGCCAAAGGACTCATCTGACCATCCACTTCGCCATACGGTGCCCCAGTACTCTTCACACCGAAACCGGACGGAAGCCTGCGCATGTGCATTGACTACCGAGCTCTTAACAAGCAGACAATCAAGAATAAATATCTGATACCGCGAATCGATGACCTGCTTGACCAGCTTCAGGGAGCTACGGTATTTTCCAAACTGGATTTGCGGTCCGGATACTGGCAGATACGGATGGCGGACAACTCTATCCACAAAACTGCTTTCCGAACTCGGTATGGATCGTACGAGTATTTGGTAATGCCGTTCGGACTCACCAACGCACTGGCAACGTTCCAAGCCGAAATGAACCACATTCTAAGACCACTTTTGGACGAGTGCGTGGTGGTGTACCTGGACGACATCCTCATCTACTCGCGCGACATGAAGCAGCACGTCGAACACCTGCGACGCGTCTTCGAAATTCTTCGACGAGAACGGTTCTACGTCAAACTGTCCAAGAACGAATTCGTCCTCGAGAAGGTCCAGTTCCTAGGACACATAGTGAGCGCTCAAGGAGTTTACGTCGACCCCAAGAAAATCGAAGCCGTACGTACGTGGAAGACACCCGAGAACATGAAGGAGTTGCAGCAGTTCCTAGGCTTCGCGAATTATTACAACAGGTTCGTGCCATAGTATGCGAAACTCGCAGCACCACTCATGAATCTGCTGAAGAAGAACACGCCCTACAAATGGGAATCGAAGCACCAGGAAGCCGTGGAGCAACTGAAACAAGCACTCACGACCACCCCGGTACTCATCTTGCCAGATCCCGAACGCGACTACGTAATCGAAGCTGACGCCAGTGACCAGGCAGTGGGAGCAGTCTTGATGCAAGACCAAGGAAATGGACTGCAACCAATCGCCTACCTCAGCAAGAAACTGCACGGGGCAAAACTAAACTACCCGATACACGACAAAGAGGCCCTTGCCATCGTCATCGCCTTCAAAGCGTGGAGATGTTATCTCGAAGGACGACGAACAACCGTCTACACCGACCACTGCAGCCTGAAATATTTGAAAGACACAACCCAACCGTTCCAGGCGACAGGTCCGGTGGATCGACTTCCTCGAGACACACTTCCATTATGACATCGTGTACAAGCCCGGCCACAAAAACAAAGCAGACACCCTCAGCCGGCCTGCACACGTTGCCGCTATTCACATCGAAGGGATGAATCCACAACTCAAGGGACTCTTCACACACGGGTACGCCATCGACCCCGAAATTCCCTTGGCAGAAAAACGACATCTGCTCCAATGGGACAGTAACATCGCGTACTGGAAAGGATCAACGAAAATCTGGGTACCCAATTACCCTCCTTTGCGCCAATTACTACTCGAAAAATAGCACGACTACTGCAGCCTCTTCCTGTCCCAGAATAGCCATGGCAAGTGGTTAGCCTGGACTTCATCACCGGGTTACCACCTACCACCAGCGGTCATGACGCAATCATTGTCGTCATCGAGACCGAGACCCCAAGTTCACCAGCAAGTTCTGGAAGAAACTCATGTCTCTACTCGGGACCAAACTCGCCATGTCATCCGCCTACCATCCGCAGACAGACGGACAGACCGAGCGCCTCAACCAAATTGTTGAGCAACTCCTCCGAGCAGCCTGCAAGGACGAGATCTCCAAATGGGACCTGCACCTGCCCGTTCTAGAGTTTGCTTACAACAACGCTACACATGCCGCTACTGGACAGACGCCGTTCTTCCTCTGCTACGGACGCCACCCACTCACACCACAGAACCGACAACATCCGCTACAGTCCAACCTGCGCATGATTTCATCACAACCATGCATCAGCTTTGGGATCGGACCCACAAGCGCCTCCTCGACATCCAGCAGCAACAAAAGCGCCAGGCCAATCGCCATCGCAACGACCACACCATCACGGCGGGAGACCAGGTGCTTCTTGACACCCGCAACCTGGACATCCGCCACCTCCCATCTAAACTACGACCTCGCTTCTGCGGGCCTTTCCTCGTTGAAGTGCAGGTTACTCCTGTTACCTTCTGCTTACGCCGGCCAGCTACCAAGAAGATTCACAACGCCTTCCATGTCCAACTTCTGAAGCCCTATCGGGATCCGAACACGATCTTCGTCGGACGCCTACCACCGCCGCCGCCGCCCATCCTTGTCCAGAATGAACCCGAGTACGAGGTCGAGTCCGTGCTTGCACACCGCCGTCGTCGGAATGGCGCCGTGGAGCTTCTCATCCGTTGGAAGGGTTATGATCCTTCTGAGGACAGCTGGGTACCTGAGATCGACATGGGTAACGCCCGTCGTCCTCTGCATGACTACCTTGTCAAGCAGGGTGTTACTTCTACCACCCAGCTTTGAGGGGGGGAAGTGTGAGAGTACGACCCCGTTACACCACTTGTCCCTTTTCTTATTCCCTTTCTCTTTCATTTCTCTTTTTATCTCATCTCATTTGGTTTCCTATTCTCCATTTTCCATTAACCTTTGGTTTATCCTGCTATTATAATTATATCACCGACCAGGCTTGGGATGTACAGGTGCGCTATCTGGCGTAATCCTGCCGTAATCCCTTAAAGCCAATAGCCTCGCGTGGCTATACGCAGGGTGATTCTACCTTCTAGAAGGTAGAACTATTAGAATAATTGAATAATGGTAAAGTGAGAGTACACACAAATATATCTAAGATTTGTATCCTCTAAGAGGTGACTCTATACAGTCTATACAAACATGACAAATACACATATTTGACACACCCCCTAGACTGCATAGGGGAATACCCTAAACAAGCAGCTCAGGGCGGCACTACTAGTCCAACCTCTGAGACAAGGGTCTGAGCGACCGGTCAGAAGGAGTACAGACAAGGCAAGCACAAGAGCAGGGCGGCACTACTAGTCCAGCCACTGGGAGAGGACACAAGTCCAGTCTGAGTATACATATAAAGGACAGTACAAAGTCAAGGTCCTAGCAAATGAGAGGCTACAGGAACTAGACCAAGCTGTACACAGTGCCGCTGATGATCTTTAGGCGCAAGCGCCTTCGTAAAGATATCAGCCGTGTTGGCACCTGAGGCCAAGTGTACTACGCGAGCCTGACGTCGCTGCTGTAGCTCACGCAGGAGGAAGTACCGCAGCTGAATGTGCTTCGCTCTGCCCTCGAGTCGAGGCTCCTGACACAGGAGGATCATGGCCCTGTTGTCAGCGAAAAGGACCGGGGCAGAGCTAGGTCGCTCACCTAAGTCAGTGAGCAAGAAGGTCAGCCAGCGGAGCTCCTGTGCCGCCATGGCACCGGCGTAGATCTCAGCCTCACAGCTGGACTGTGCAACAGACGAGGAGCGAGTAGCTCTCCACGAGACGGCACCTGAGCCAAGGCTGAAGCAGTAGCCCTGGGTAGACCGGAGTGTCTCAGCGTCGTCTGCCCACGAAGCGTCTGTGTGCCCAGTAAGGACCGCTGGCCTGCGTCCTCCTAGCACTAACCCCATGCCCGATGTACTAGCAAGATAACGCAGGACCCTCTTAGCGGCAGACCAGTGCTGCGGTCGGTGTCTGCCTGTGGCCACAAAGCGAGCCAGGATGCTGAGAGGGTATGCGAGATCTGGGCGAGTGCAAGTCATCAGGTACATGAGGCAACCCACCAGCTCTGCGTAGGGGCCGCTGGGCTCTACCAACTCCTCAGGCACTGGAGCGGAGAGCCTGTGGTCTACAGGCAGAGGGGTGGGCTGTGCAGAGGAGAACTGAAGGCTGAACCTCTGAAGGACCTGGCGCACCAAGTGTGACTGAGTCAGGGTGATGGTGCGCGCAGCTCTGTCCCTGGAGATCTGCAAGCCAAGGTAACGGCGCAGTTCTCCAAGGTCAGTGCAGGTGTGTCTCTTCAGCAGCTCTGCCTTCACGGAGGCCAGCGCGTCCCTGTCTGCTGTGGCAAAGACCAGGTCGTCGACGTAAACGAGGATGTAGAACGGAGTCTGGCCAGCACGAACGAAGAGTGAAGGGTCTGCAGAAGACGGAAAGAACTGCAGGTCAGCAAGCATAGCACGCAGAGTGTCGTGCCACTCATGGGGAGCCTGGCGCAGGCCGTAGACGGGGCGCCGCAGGAGCCACTGGGTCCCAGGAGGGAAGGTGCCAGTAAAGCCCGGAGGGCGGCGCAGGTAGACCTGCTCGTGTAGGCTGCCCTGAAGGAAGGCAGTGGAGAAGTCGAGGGAGTGAAGCTCGTAGTCACGCTGAGCAGCTAGGTGTAACAGAACCCGAAGAGTAGTCATCTTCGGGGTCGGAGCGAAAGTCTGGAAGAAGTCCACCCCCTCGCGCTGACTGAAGCCTCTAGCCACATAGCGCGCCTTGAAGACAGGCGGCTCTCCAGGAGGGCGCTTCACCTTGAAGAGCCAGCGGCCATCGACTACGTTCACCCCAGGTGGGGGAACTGCGTCGACGAAGGTGCCGGTGGATCTCCAAGATGCCATCTCCTGCTCCATGGCAGCTATCCACTGCGAGGCCCAGGGTCCCGAAGTCGCCTCAGCGTAAGTGCGAGGGGTCGGGATGTCGAAAGCGTCTGGGTCACCCTCAGGGACTAGCAGCATGGAACAGAGATGGGGAGCAGCCTCGGAGAGGAAAGCAAGCTCGAACTGGCGGTCCTCCAGGACGTCACTGCCAAGGGCAGGAGCACCCCCGACAGACGGAGGACAGGCAGGGTCAGAGACCAGAGCGGTGGCGTACTCAAGGCGGCGGGTAGAGGCGAAGTCAGCGACAGCAGCGACAAGAGCGTCAAGGCACGAGACCGGAACAGACGGGTCAGTAACGAGGGAGGCAAGGACCCGAGGAACGAGAGGACGAGCGGCACGAAGGTAGTCGGACAGCGGGGGGGGCGCAACAACAAGGAAGGACGGAGGAGGCGACGGCAGAAGGGGAGGACGAGACGCGTGTGAACGAAGCAACATAGGGTGGGAGCGCAAGACAGGCGAGGCAGGACGAGCACGGGAGGGACGGTGAGACCAGACGTGGGACGGAGGAGTCGGGTCAGGAGACAGGGGAGGGGACACAGGAGGGGAACGAGGGGGGAGACGGGCCGGGGACGAGTCCGGCGGAGGGAAAACAGGGCCGTAGACAGGAAGAGGAGGAGACGGTCGGGGAGGAACCGACGCAGGGTCGGGGGACGGAAGGCCGAGCAGGCGAAGGGCGGACACCGGCGGGGACTGCTGCTGGGGCGGCACAACGGCGACACCTGGACCGCAAGCTGCTCCTCGGCTACCACCGGCACTCTCCACACCCGCACCCCCAGAGGGACCACCCTCAGGGCGACCGGGACGAGCACCCCCAGAGTCAGCGAACGGGGGCTGCGACTGCGGCGGCGGCGGCGGCGGCGGCGACGGCGACGGCTGCAGTGGCGGCAGGGACGGCGGAGGAGGGGACTGGGGAGGGGACACCTGGGGAGGGGCGGCCGGTGAGGACTGCACCGGAGGGCCACCAGAGTCAGAAGACTCCTCAACCGGGTCCACGGACGGAAGGGGGGTGACGTGGGAGACACCAGAGGGGGCGGGACGGGGAGGAGGAGGAGGAGGGGCAGGGACTACCGGGGAAGGGGTGACCAGGAACAGGGGGGGGGTAACCGGGGGACCACGGTGGGGGAAGCGGCGGTAGTAGGAGACGGACTCGTCAAATGTGACGTCACGAGAGTGAAAGAAGCGGTGAGACGGCGGGTGGTAAAAGTGCCAGTCGGACGCGTCAAGGGGAAAACCGAGGAAGACGCAGGGAAGGGTGCGGGCAGTGAGCTTGTCCGTGCCGGAGGCACGGACGTGAGCAAGGCAGCCCCAGACGTGGAACGCAGACGCGTCACCAGGAGACCCAGTCCACAGACGGGTCGGCGAAACCTGCGGCTGCTGAGGGTGCGGCCACAGGTTAAGCTGGTGAGAAGCGTAGCGCACAGCGAACGGCCACAGAAAATGGGGTGCACCGGCATGGACCATGGAGGTGCGAGCGACCTCCATGACCAAGCCGATGCGTCGCTCAGCGACCCCATTCTGCTGTGGGGAGTCCGGTAGGGTGAACGTCTGGGTGATGCCCTCCGCACGACAAAAGCGACCAAGGACACCTGAGGCAAACTCGCCACCACGGTCTGAGTGAAGACGCAAGACAGGGAGACCGCGGTGGACACGCGCAGAGACAAGCCAGGGGATGAGGGCGCCAGGCACGTCGGCCTTGCGCTCCAGGGGAAAGACTGTGGTGTAACGAGTGAAGTCGTCGACAAGCACAAGGAAGTAGCGCTCGCGACGCGGCCCAGGGACGGGGGCGGGGCCCCAGACGTCCAGGTGCAGGGTCTGCAGCGGCGCGGCGGTAGGGGGGAACGAGGAGGAGTGAGGGGCACGGCGAAGCCGACCCTCGACACAAGGCGTGCAAGGTGGAGCTGGGGAGGAGGGAAACGCGGGGAGTGAACCTGGGAGACCAAGGACAAGACCGTGCTGGGACATGTGACGCAGACGCGGGAGCACAGGGTGACCTAGGCGGTGGTGCCACAGGAGGGTCGGGTGAGTGAGGGAGCGACAGGAGCAGGCAGCAGCAACCTGGGTAGACACAGCCACCTGAGGGGGCGCTCCAGCCGGGGGGGTCACGGTGTCCAGAGTGAACAGGCCGGACACCGGGTCCCGGGGGAACGTGGACAGGGGGGCACCAGTGGCGGCCTCGGTACAGACAGCATACCGCTCGTGACCAGGGAACGTAGTGGTGACGCCAAGGTCCTGGAGGCAGCCGACACCAACTAGGTTCCTGGAGAACGAAGGGATATGCAGACCTGTAAGAGAGCCCGAAGGAACCGCCGGACAGGGAAGGGTGGTGGAACTGCGGGCGACTACCGGACCGCCGGAGGGGTCAGCAAGAGAAACGGCAGCAGGAACAGGAAGCGGCGTCAGGGTGGTGGAGTCGCGGAAGAAACACCGAGAGGCGCCAGAGTCCAAGGTGAAGGAAAGCGAAGCCGAGGGGTCTGGCGACGGAACGACGGCAGAAGCACCAAGACTACACAAAGCAGGGGATCCTACGCCTGACGCAGCAGGGGAGGCTAAGCTAGGCACACCTACACTAGGCAACAGTGAGTAATAAGTCGGAAGCACACTAGAGTCATCAGCATACATCACATGCAGAGCAGAAACAATGGCATCCATGTCCATATCAAAGATCTGAATCTGACGACTAAGCAAACTGTGCCAGTCCGGGAGGTCTGGCGACGGGCGGAAACGCTGACGAAAAAGGTCGTCCAGGCGACGAAAGCAGCGGGGAGTGGAGTGACCGATCTTAACGCAAACGAAACCGCGGCGAGGACCGGTCTGGATCTGGTACTGACAACGCCCGCCGGCAGAGCCACCACGCGGCACACCACCACGCGCCCGTCCACCGCCAGCGCCGGGCCACCCTGGCGGGAGAACACTCGTCTGCCGCGTCTGCGACGGCTGCTGCGGCTGCTGCGAAGGCTGCGACTGCGGCGGCTGCTGCGGCTGCTGCAACTGCAGGGGCGGCGACTCAGCTGGACTGGGCAGGGTCCCCTCGTCCGCTCCAGCACCAGGCGACCCGACCCCACCACTACCCCCGCCCGCACCCCCGCCGCCCCCTCCGCCGCGCCCAGCCTTGGGGCGGCGGCCCTTCCCAGAACGGGCCTGCGGTACAGCAGCAGTCTCAGCCACTGCGGCAGAGCCGTCGGAGAAGGTACACTGAGCGGGTGCACAACCCTGAAAGATAGGGACCGGCACGACACCGCTCGCCTGGGCGATGGAGCGGTGACGGGTCTCTATCACAGTCAGGGTGTCGACAAAGTCAGTGAGGGTGAGGTCTGCGGGGTGAACACTAAGGAAGCGGTCGCGGGCGACAGCAAGGCGGTCAGGGAGGCGGGTGGCAAGCAGGTAGAGGGTAGAGGTAATGGGCGGCTGGTGGGCTCTAAGCTGTGCGTCAGTGCATGCGGCGCGCCAGGTCTCCTCTATCGAGCGCAGGTGGGCAGCGAGGTCAGAGACAGTGGGGAACGAAGCAAGGTCAGGAAAGAGTAGCGGGAGGATCAGGCGACCCACCGAGGCAGCCGGAGGGGTGGAATAGCGCTTGATGACAGCATCTAAGTATGCCTGAGCAGTAGTGAGGGACCTAAAGCGAGGACGCTCGGACGGGGGGAGGGCGTTGCTAATGGCAAGCTGGGCGACAGCATCGCGAGAAAGCCAGACAGAGCGCGCACGGGCAGTGGCAGCAGTAGACTCACGCTCAGTGGGTGTGGGGTCAGCGGGCAGAATAGCAGGAGGGTCTGGGCAGGGGAGCGTACCGTCAAGGTGTGCGGAAAGCGGTTCACCATCCTGCCGCTGGCCAGTGAGTTGGCGGCGGAGGTCGGCAAGCCACGCCTCGAACTCTAGGGGCTGACCTTCAGCGTCGAAGCGAAGCTCCGCCGCCATCAGGAACAGTCCACTGCTGTGCAGGGCGGTGCAGCTAGGTGGGGTGCGGTGCAGTGCGATACAGTGCGGTGCAGTGCGGTGCAGTGCGGTACTGTGCGGTACAGTGCGGTGCAGTGCGGTGCAGTGCGGTGCAGTGCGGTGCAGTGCGGTGCAGTGCGGTGCAGGGCGGCACGGAGCAGGGCGGGGTGGGGGGGGGGGGGGGGGGGGGGGGGGGGGGGAACCGTACCAGTGAGGAGGACGGGGCCGGGGCTGGCCCGACGGGGCCGGGCGGGCGCGACGGGGCCGGGCTGATGCGACAGGGCCGGGACGGGGCGACGGGGCCGAGCGGGCGCGACGGGGCTGGGCTGGGGCGACGGGGCCGGGCGAGTGCGGCAGGGCCGGGCCGGTGCGACGGGGCCGGGCGAGCGGGACGGCGGCCGGGCTGGTGCGACGGGGCCGGGCGGCTGTGACGGGGCCGGGCAGGGTGCGACGGGGCCGGGCGGGTGCGACGGGGCCGGGCGGCTGCGACGGGGCCGGGCGAGCGCGACGGGCCGGGCAGGGTGCGACGGCGCCGGGCGGGCGCGACGGGGCCGGGCGGCGGCGACGGCGCCGGGCGGGCGCGACGGGGCCGGGCGGCGGCGACGGGGTCGGGCGGGCGCGACGGCGCCGGGCGTGCACGACGGGGCCGGGCGGCGGCGACGGGTACGACGCGGCCGAGGAGGGGCGCTACGGGGCCCAGGAGGGGCGCTACGGGGCCCAGGAGGGGCGCGACGGGGCCCAGGAGGGGCGCTACGGAGCCCAGGAGGGGCGCGAAAGAGCCCAGGAGGGGCGCTACGAGGCCTGGGAGGAGCGCGACGGGGCCCAGGAGGGGCGCTAGGGGGGCTGGGAGGAGCGCGACGGGGCCTGGGAGGGGCGCGACGGGGCCTGGGAGGGCGTTACAGGGCCCAGGAGGGGCGCTACGAAGCCCAGGAGGGGGCGCGACGAGGCCCAGGAGGGGCGCTACGGGGCCCAGGAGGGGCGCGACGGGGCGCTACGGGGCCTGGGAGGAGCGCGACGGGGCCCAGGAGGGGCGCTAGAGGGACTGGGAGGGGCGCGACGGGGCCTGGGAGGGGCGCGACGGGGTCTGGGAGGGCGGTACAGGGCCCAGGAGGGACGCTACGAAGCCCAGGAGGGGCGCGACGAGGCCCAGGAGGGGCGCTACGGGGCCCAGGAGGGGCGCGACGGGGCGCTACGGGACCTGGGAGGAGCGCGACGGGGCCCAGGAGGGGCGCTAGTGGGCCTGGGAGGAGCGCGACGGGGCCTGGGAGGGGCGCGACGGGGCCTGGCAGGGGCGCTACGAAGCCCAGGAGGGGCGCTACGGGGCCTGGCAGGGGCGCTACGAAGCCCAGGAGGGGTGCTACGGGGCCTGGGAGGAGCGCGATGGGGCCCAGGAGGGGCGCTAGGGGGCCTGGGAGGAGCGCGACGGGGCCCAGGAGGGGCGCTAGGGGGCATGAGCGGAAGCGGTAGGTGGGGGGGGGGGATCCTACCTACGCGTGATACCATATCAGAATAATTGAATAATGGTAAAGTGAGAGTACACACAAATATATCTAAGTTTTGTATCCTCTAAGAGGTGACTCTATACAGTCTATACAAACATGACAAATACACATGTTTGACAAGAACGTCCACGGTAGAATCACCCTCCACGTCCAGTGATTCTACCGCCCAACCCTCCACGTCCAGGCGGAGCACAACGTCCGCCATCACCACAGCTGCAGCCGCTAAGGACTACAAGAGGAGGAGGAGGGGGCAGGCACGTGCTGTGAAGAGCAGGGAGGTGCGGTGGAACGCGGTGGAGAGCGGTGCAGTGCGGCGGAGAGCGGTTGTGTGCGATGGGGCGCGGTGAAGCCTCGATCGAGGATTTAGCCGACCGAGGCGCCGGCTCAGAGTGGAAGCAGGGCCGGCGGCATGGAGGGGCCGGCAATCTGGGGCAGCGCGGCGGCACGGCGAGCTGGGGCGGCACGACAGGTTGGGGCCGGCAGCGAGCGGGGGCTGGCCGCGAGCTGGGGCGGCGCGGCAAACTGGGGCCGGCGGCGGGTGGTGGCCGCGGCGAGCTGCGAGCCGCGGCAGCCCAGCTGCGAGCTGAGACCAGCGGCGGGCGGTGGCGAGCGAGGGCCGCGGCGAGTTAGGAGCCGCGGCGAGCTGGGGCCGTTGCGAGCTGGGAGTCACGGCAAGCTGGGGCCGCACAGCGAGCTGGGGCCATCGGCGAGCTGGGGCAGTGACGAGCTCCATCATCGCTAGAGGTACCTAATAATTTTTCTCCATAAATTTCCCCTATGGTTCATTACTGTGCAGAGAATTATGAGTCCATCCATTTGTCCTCTATTATAGATCATCTAGGGGGCACTTGGACGGACAACCAGCACTGCGTTGGTACCTCCCATCAACTAGTCATTGTACTATGAAAACCAGGCATGAATTTGACAGGAGCATGTTGACTCTTTTTTTCCCCACCCTTTTGCTATGTCAATGCATCATGCAATTAATCAGAGTCGCTGCAAGAGCTATCACTATCCGCAAATATATGAAAGCAACTACTAGCAGCATGGCCAGTGTTCCCACCAGTAGTTAGACATGAAGTGCCATCATCTTGCCACATTGTGATGCGTGGTTTGTCAGAACACCCATAGCTGGATAAGTTTCCCCCAAGAGCAGTATCCTGCATAGGTCAAGCAAATGCATTATTTGACATGTCGCCAATTTTTTACATTGAACAAATTGCTAATTGCACACATTTTACCGAGCTTATAGCATACCTTTGTCTCTGTAGCGAAGCATGCAGTAATGAGGGCGGCAAAGACCGGGATGAAGACAAAAAGGAGGATGGCTAACTCCTGTGTAGATGAGAACGAGGGGATGGGTATGCAGAACAAAAGACAATCAGGGGCCAGGGTAACACGAGCATAAGAAACAGAAATCAAATGGGAAACACCCGCAAAACACACAGAAATCAAACAAGAAATACTCGTAAAAGCATAATACACAAAGGGAGCAGAGAAGAAACCTTGCGCACACAGAAATGAAACAGGAAACAAGCAGAAAACAAACAGAGAACCCACAATTCACACAGAGCACACGTGAAGAGTTAAGGCATGTTAACCATTGCGGTACAGATGGGTGTCTGTGCGGTTGTGCAGGGTGGACAAACGAGGGAAGTGTGGACAAAAAACCCAAAAAGTAGACAGAAGTCACAAAAGGGCTCAAGCTAGCCAACTAAACACCACCACGCAATGGCAACCAATAGCACCCACCAAATAACCCAGCTTTCGAGTTGACTCAATAGCAACCACCAAATCACCCAGCTTTCGAGCCGACTCATTAGCACCCACCAAATGAGCCACCCAACGTACCCTACGGCATCCTTCGATCAGCCCGACCGCCACAAATGGACAAACAAAGCCGCCCAATCTCGCCCACGAGTTCGCAACCCCGAGCCCAGTAGATCTGATCTCGGTCGGGTAAATCTCTGGGGTGTATGCCCAGAGAACTGCGAACGACCCCATGATTGCCGCCCGGGCAGCGAAAAGAAAAATTGTCGTGGCGACAGGTGACAGGGGATGAATCAGCGGCAGCAGAAGAAATCCTGCTAAGCAGAGGAGCACCCAGAGCACAGTCTTACGGCCAAAAATCTCGACCCCCCCCAGAGCGAGGAGAAGACCGGGCAGCTCTGCTGCTGATGTGATAAAAACATCTGAATAGGTTTGGGAGGAGATTTCAGGCTGGTTGTCAGGTGCACAACCAGGTAGGGGAGATATAGATAGGGAGGAGGAAGAGGAAACAGAGGAGTGTGAAGAGGAGAAAGAGGAGGAATGGGATGCAGAGGAGGAAGAATTAGTAGTGGAGTCATCTTGGAGGTGGGAAATAACCAAGGAGCGGCGTGAGGAGGGAAGGAGGGTGCGCCGGTGGTGATACGAATGAAGAGTGGGAACGGAAAAGGGGTTTGAGACAGGAACGGGGAGGGGAAAGGGAGGCAGTATGGACGACGGTGCTGCGAGCAAGCCTCTTGAGTGCACGGACGCCGGGCAATGGAGAGAGGATGTGTTGACTGCCGCTGCGGAACCACCCGAACCATTATCAGGAGGAGTGAGTCGAGTGGTCGGCTGGGTGGTGGTGAGCTGAGTGGTGAGCAGCACAAGGCCGTAGTAGGAAAAGGCAGAGGCGAAAAACAGGAGCCAGAGGACGAGTGTGGAGCGCAGGAGAGAGGGGGAGAGGAGGCTGGCGAGCTTGTGGAGAGAGGAGGAGGGGGAGGAGGGTGGGGGAGGAGGATGGGGATGGTGATGGTGAGAGCGAGGGTTGGGGTGGAAGTGGTGGGGATGGGAATGGTGACGACCATTCTGTTGGTCTGGTGGTGGCGTCGTGCTTTGGTGCATAGTGCTTTGGGATGTAGCAGAGCAAGGGGGGTGAGAGGGCATAGACGGGCTCCCCTTGTAACGAGTAGACTTTTGAGTCGACTCAAAAGCCGGCTCTGTGTTTAGGGGCGTGCTGCTTTGGGATGTAGCAGTGCAAGAGGGGTGAGAGGGCATAGAGGGGCTTCCCTCGTTACTCGAGTAAAAAATGACAGCGTGAGAAGAGATAGGTGGGGGGGAACAGGGGGGGGAAGGTAAGGATGAGGAGGAGGAATATGCGGGGTAAGTAGAGGAAGAAGCGGCATGGGCAGGAGAAGGGGAGGAATGTGGCGAGGGCAGTAGTCTGGGCCCAGATGCTGCCGAGACCAGCCGCCCGGGCGGCAGGCGCTTGCCATTGGTTCGGGCTGCTCTTTCAAGGATGACGTGTGCTGCTGACGTGTCGCCTTTGAGCTGATGGGAGGAAAGAGAGGGGGCAAAGAGAGAGTGGGGGAAGTCAAGAAATGAGAGGTGGAGATAAGGAGAGACGGAAGAGAGAGAGAGAGAGAGAGAGAGAGAGAGAGAGAGAGAGAGAGAGAGAGAGAGAGAGAGAGAGAGAGAGAGAGAGAGAGAGCATGAGCCTCTCCTCAGCTATATAAGGCCCTCTCTCTCCTCATTCTCCTTGTTTAGTTTCCATTCATTCTCTTTTTCTCCCTGTTTTCGGCTCGCGAGAGAGAGAGAGAGCGAGAGAGAGAGAGAGAGAGCATGAGCCTCTCCTCAGCTATATAAGGCCCTCTCTCTCCTCATTCTCCTTGTTTAGTTTCCATTCATTCTCTTTTTCTCCCTGTTTCCATTCATTCTCTTTTCCCTGTTTTCTCCCTCTTTTTCGAGAGAGAGAGAGAGAGAGAGAGAGAGAGAGAGAGAGAGAGAGAGAGAGAGAGAGAGAGAGAGAGAGAGTAGCATGGCAGGAGAGAGAGAGTACTGCGCGGGAGAGAGAGAGTACTGCGCAGGAGAGAGAGAGAGAGAGAGAGAGAGAGAGAGAGAGAGAGAGAGAGAGAGAGAGAGAGAGAGAGAGAGAGAGGGTTTCCGACATACCTGAACGAAGGCAAAGGCGGGCGGGGCGGATTCAAAGGGAGCAGCAGGCGCTGCTTAGACGGAATCAAGGGGCCAACGAGGCACAACCCTGCCAACCCTCGCGCCAATTTTCGCCAGAAGATCTGGCGAATAACGAACCCCTTTTCACGGGGATCGCAAATTGGGACACGGGACTGCTTTGCGACAGTCGCCAGCCCCCCCTTTCCCGTCGAATCCCCCAGAAATTACGCCAGCTTTTCGCTCTGGCGCTCCTGACACCCCTGCTCCACATCGCCAAACACCCATCCAGCCTCGCAGGCTGGCGCCTGTTACTTTTCACACCCAGACTCACCCTTCGCCTCAATTCGCCACGTCACCCGGATTGGCCAGCAGTCGAGCGACGACTGCAGCTGTTCCTGGCCGGCGAATGGGAACTACTTTACCTGGCTGCTGTCGATGCGATAACCAACCCACCGTTGCCACGACACTCTGGAGACGCCCTTGGCAAAATTTCTCGCGCCGAGGGCCTCGTCCGTCGAGGCAGCCTCAGACGTGCCCTACTGGCGTTGGACTCAACGCCGGTCAGCGAGTCAACGCCAGAGGTCCTCGCTGTGCTGACCTCCAAACATCCCCCCCCTCTGACCGAGTCCCTTGACTGGCCCGCCCTCGACGACTCAGAGCCTCCCACCTCAATCTCGCAGGCTGATTTCGTACGGTTACTTTGCCGCAGCGAAAACGGTGTCGGTGCAGGGCCGTCGGGAATGTGTTTTGAACATCTCCGCGACGCAGCCCTCGCGAACGCCTCCGTCGCCCTCAATCTCCACGCAGTAGCACAGCTCCTCCTAAAAGGGACTGCCACACCAGAAGTCGCGGAGCTCCTCACAGCCAGCCGCCTGCTGGCGTTTCCGAAGCCGCAGGGAGGCACGCGCCCAATCGCAGTAGGCGAGTGCCTCCACCGCCTGGTGGCAAAAGCGGGCCTCGCTGCCATGAACGAGCCCGCCCAAAGCCACCTCCTCCCACTGCAATTCGGCGTGGCAGTGAAAGCCGGAGGCGAAGCGATAATCCATGGCGCAAGGGCTTTCGCCACGGAATTCCCGTCCGCCCTCCTGCTCCAGGTCGACCTATCTAACGCCTTCAACAGCGTCGACCGTGGGGCCATCATAACGGGACTCTACAACTCCCCTCTTCGCCCCCTACTCCCCTTCGTGCGCCTATCCTATGGCGCCCCCTCGACCCTCTTCCTGGACGCCGGCTTCAACAGCCCGCCCCTCCTCAGCGCTCGTGGCGTCCGGCAAGGGGATCCCATGGGACCCCTTCTCTTCGCCGCCGCCATGCACCCCGCCCTGCGCGAGACCGCCCAGGCGTACCCCAGCGTCCTCTGCCTGGCGTACGCCGATGACATAACCCTGATGGGAGAGCCAGCGGCATGCACCGCCGCCTTCGCCCATCTCACCCACGCGCTGCTCCCACTAGGCCTGACCCATAATCCGGCTAAGTGCGCGGCATGGTCCACGGCCCCTCCCCCCCCGACCTCCTCCCCCCGGGAATCCCCTTCTGCGCCTCCGGGTTGCGGATCTTGGGCAGCCATATCGGCCCACCAGACGCAGCGGCCAGTTTCCTGCGCGAACAGCTGGCCGCGATGGCCAAGCCTCTCCCCACCTTAGCGGCCATGGAACCCCAGTCCGCCAGCCTCCTCCTTCACCGCTGCGTCTCTCGTCGAGTCTCCTACCTGACCCGCACGACGCCGCTAAATCTGCTGCCAGCAGAGGAGTGGTCCCAGTGGGGACAACAACTCTACCACACCCTCCTGAGGGCGTGCAACCTCCAGCCCCCGCGCGGGGATCATGAGATGGCGCGCACGTGGCAGCAGGCCTCCCTCCCCCCCTCCCTCGGTGGGCTCGGGCTGACAGACCCCGCAGTCGAAGGGCCACACGCCCTCCTTACCAGCGTAGCCCACGCCCAGCGGCTCCTGGCCTCCCTCGCCAAGGACCCTTCCAGCCCCCTCGGGGCAGTGGCCCGCTCCCTCACACCACCCTACGCCAGCCCCACCCCCCTCCACTCCTGGCTAGCCGAATGCGAAGCGGCGCTGCCAGCTCCCGCCCGGGAGCTACTACGAGCCGAGCTCACGGAACCGTCAGACGCCCCGCTCCAGCACCGCATCGCCCTGGAAGTCCATGCAGCACGGTTCGCCGAGCAGCTGGAGGCGACCAGGACAATGGAGCTCAACCCCCTCAGCGGTCACACTCAGCGGCTCCTCTCCCTCACGGGGTATGGGGCAGGGGACTGGCTCCTAGCAATCCCCCTCTTCCCCTCCCTCAGGCTGGCACCCCCTCACTTCGCCATAGCCCTCGCCTTCCGCCTGGGCCTCCCCTTCCCCACACCACGAGTTTGCAACTGCGCCAAGAAGGTCCAGATCCCGGACCCACGGCTCCCCAACCACCTGTTCCGTTGTGGGACAGGGCACGGGCGCACCGATACCCACAACGCCCTCAGGGATGAATGCATCCGTATGGGCCAGGACGCGCAGCTCATCGTCTCGAAAGAGACGGCCCTCTACAACCCGGTCGATGGCAAAACCGCCGACCTAGCCGTCCGGGACCGGGACTCGGGAGCAGTCTGGATCTGCGACGTCACTGTTACAGACCCAGTCAGCTCCAGGGACCCCCTCGCCCGCAAGGGGCGCGGTTACATGGCAAGGGAGCAGGCGGACAAGAAGACCGACATGTACCGCCACAGGGCAGAATACGTAGGCTTCTTCCCGCTGGCCGTTGAGACATACGGCTGCCCCTGCGCGGAAGTGCCGGCCTTCCTCAAACTCCTGGCACACACGGCCGCCCGGCGCCTTTTCAATGCCGACCCCTCCTCGTACCAGGCGGCGAAACTACTTAGCCAGTTTCGCCAGCGCTGGTCCGTCACCCTCCAAAGAGGACAGGCACTGGCCTACCTGGGGAAAGTGAACGAGGCGTCACCGCTAGAGTGGCCCCCCTTGGGAGGGCCTGAAGCGGGCATGTCCCTCGGGGACTGCTTCGCCGTGATAGAACCTTAGAAAAGGGGGGGGGGGGGGGGGGGGGGGTTGGTAGGGCCGGGTGCTGGCCTTTCCCCACCGGCGGCTCTAGCCTACGCCTGCTCCACTTGCCTAGCATGTACCCAGGATTCCCAGCAACAAAGGACCATGAGAGAGAGAGAGAGAGAGAGAGAGAGAGAGAGAGAGAGAGAGAGAGAGAGAGAGAGAGAGAGAGAGCGAGAGAGAGAGAGAGAGAGAGAGAGAGAGAGAGAGAGAGAGAGATTGAGAGAGAGAGAGAGAGAGAGAGAGAGAGAGAGAGAGAGAGAGAGAGAGAGAGAGAGAGAGGGTACAGCCTATGTCCCTTAGTATTTAGAGCTCTCAGTCCTCTCATTCCTCAGTTTTCAGTTGGGCTTCTTCTTTTTCTCCTTCCTTTGGTGGCGGCTTGCGCCGGCGGCCTTCGGCCGCCGACGCTCGCGGCGCGGCCTCCGGCCGCGCGATAGGGCCGGCAAAACACCAACAACCACTAGTTACTGAAGCACACAATACAGAGCAACCAGGACAGCACCGACTCCTACACGGCCCAACACGCAACAAGTCCATCGGTATGGAGGGCCTGATCAGCCGCACGAAGGCCCTCTCCCTGTCGGACCACCCGCCCGTGCGGACGTACACCCGCCGAGGACTCACCCCACGAGCTCGTGGACCCCAACCTCTTCCAACATGTCCGCCTGGTAGCTGACCAGGACCTGGAGCGTGGACGCGAGGCCGCCTATTAAGTCTACAATTGACACCGAGTCTACGCTCGCCGACACTTGGCGGAGCCCGGCGAGCAGCCTCGGGTCCGTCGCGCTTCCCGGGACGCGCGCGGGCTGCGCTCGCAGTGCCGCAAGGGCGAGCTCAAGGGCAGCTTCTGAGCATTCCCGCAGGGGAGCATATGGCATCGTGCTCAGGCTCCCTGAGCTCAATAATGCGGAGTGCACACTCTGCATCATCCCCGCCATCGTCTCAGTCGCCCGCCTCGCGTGCCACATGCGCTGAAGTATGGCGACTTCAACCACCGTCTCCTCTGGAGGACGCTCCCGCCTCGGCAGCCGATCCAGACGCACCCTCGGAGGGATCCGCAGCCCTCCAGACCTCCGCCGCTCCCGCAGCCACCCCGGCCCAGGGGAGTCCTCCATCGACAATTCCGCACCTCCCATCTCCGCTGCTTCTGCCCCCCCCTCAACTCCCGTTGGGGACACCACGAGACGCCTCGGAGGCACAAACGGGCCACTCACCCCGCCCGAGAACAGCGTCGGAACACCCAGCCCATCCGGACGCCGAGGACCGGGCCATAGCAGCGCGGGATCAGGCCCCGACAGCGGCAGCGACGAACACAACTGCGGCGGTTGCCACT